ACTTGAAGATTCAGATTTTGGCAGAAGATTCAGATAAGCCGAATGACCAGTAACCGTTTTTGCATCTTTCTCTGTAAAATACTCCTACTTATAATTAATTAATTAATTTCTCAAGGGAAGAAAGAAGAAGAAGATAAGAATGGGATTTAATTGGATGGTCCTGCCATCTCCTCTTGTTGTGCAAAACTAACTTTGCCATTTTGTGTGCTGTGCAAAACTAACTTTGTCATCTTGCAAGTTGTCATCTATGGAATGTTCAGATCCATAGAGGTGGAGTAGTTTTGATTACCACTTTGCAAACGCTGAAGATTGCATAGAGACTTGGCTTGGGGGATTAAACGGTAAACAAAATAAAATTCAGTCTATCTCTGATGGTTCCACAAGATAAAAATTCAGAGTTCAGACAGGTTCAGTCTGGAAATTGTCAAGTGTGTGCAGTGAGTTGCAAGTGTCTCACTGAATCAAGATTATAGTGCTAAACAAAATTGAATTTGATGAAATATATGGTGCCTACAACAGTGTATCGCTGGCTTATCAACACAGGCTGCTACGAGTGGAAGACGGAGCTTCTCGAGATGCTCAATTTGAATTCATGAATAGACATCGCAATATTGTGAAGCATCTCCAAAAGCATATCCATGATTTGTCAGTGGCTGACCCCTTCGAACAGCCATAGACAGGGTTGATGCCTGAAGATTGCACTGTTCTTAGTGTCCTGTGCTTGTTTCGTAGACGATATTTATTCCTTAAGATCGCATCGTGTTCCACATAGACCTGCTCTATTTTCTAGCCTAAGGTTCCTCTGCAATTCAAGTAACTTATGGAGTTGCCACTGTTAACACTGCAATAGATTCTTTTGTGTGGAAAATTTCTGATGGGGAGGGATGCAAAAATATCACTGCTGACAGTTGTAACTAGTGACAGCTGGTAAGTGGTAATCCCATCTGCCAACACTCCTACGGACTACGGTCTTAACCTGTGCAATCGTTCGTGGTTTGGCTCTGCCTAAGCAAGTAAAGTTAAGTCTCTCTCTCAAACACACACGCACGCACACACATTCATGGTTGCCATGTTCAGAAAACATACACAATAACCATTGTAATGGTTGCAGACAAGATACTCCAGTTGTTCAGAGATTGAAATGGTTGCAGACAAGATACTCCAGTTGTTCAGAGTTTGAAATGGTTGCAGACAAGATACTCCAGTTGACAATGCAGTTCAGAAAACAAAAAACTAAGCAGCGGCAGGCAATTCAGAGTATCAAACAATGCTTGTTTTGGAGGAGTATGCAGATGTGATTGCACGAATTAGGGAGAAGGATATAGCAGGATGTCTCACCAGCTGACAGAGCAGGGGCGCCTCGCCGGCTGCCTCGGCAGAGGAGGATGCAGGGAAGGAGGTATCCCCTGAAGCTCGCGGCCACCGGCGCCAGGAGCTTGGCGGCGGTGACGGGTGCTGCCTTCCTCTCCTCCTGCCCGCAGGTCCGTCCCTGACAGCGCCAACTCGCCACCGTCGCGTCGTGGTGGACGACAGCAGCTCGCCGGCGTCCCCGTGGCGTCCAGTTGCCGGCGTCGTGTTGGTGGTGGTCTGGATCTGGCGCCTTCGGCCTCGCATCGACGGAATCCGTCGCCGGCTTGAACTCAAAGGTCCAAGCTTTTTCGAAGTTCGCTGCGGGAAGGAGGAGAGGAGCGCGGCGAGGCCACCGAAGGTGGGGGAGGAGAGCGCGGCGACGCTATAGAAGGTGGGGGGAGGGGGGAGAGCGCGGCGGCAGCGCAGCGGCGAGCCGGAGAAGAGCACCGAGCGGACCGCGGCGGCCAGCCGGAGAAGAGAGCAAGCGCGAGGACCGCGGGTTCGGTCGGAAATAGATGGAGGGGGTTTTCGCAAATACACCGTCGCGACAACTAAATCCGAACGGAGGGAGTAGATGGTAACTAGCAAAATTTTATGCTTTACAAAAACAAAGAAATTGCCGTGGTCCAATGGAAAAAGAAAATTGCCGTGCTACATAAATTAAATTGCCATGGTTTGTATTACATTTTGAAAATTGTTCAAAAAAAATTTGTCGTGGTAGCAGGAAAAATGCCATGGTCTGTACACTAAAAATTGTCGTGCTGCATAAAGAAAAATTTGCCGTGAGCATAAAGATAAATTTTCCATGCGCACATAAAAAGTAATTTTTACAAGTTGCACAAAGAAACAAAAAAAATGCCATACTTAAAAATTTGCCATGATCTATGAACTAAAGTTGCCATGGTCAAATATTAAAAACTACCATGATCTACGAAAAATAAATTTTCCATTATTCTTTAACCAAATTTGCCATGTTTCTTCAACTAAATTTGCCATGGTTATTTCCTAAGAATTGCCATCGTTTTGGCAAATAAAAGTAAATTTGTCATGAAAAAAAAAGAGAAGTAAAGAATTGCCATGAATCGTAAACTTAATTTGCCATGGTCATTTACTAAAACATCATCATTTACTGAAAATTGCTATGGTCATTTACTAAAGATTTTTTTTGCCATGTTTAATTAATGAAATTTGCCATGAATCGTAAACTTAATTTGCCATGGTCATTTACTTAAAGTTGCCATCATATTGCCAAAAGAAATGTTGCCATGCAAATACATGAAACTAAAAATTGCCATGATCTACAAACTAAACTTGCGATGGTCAATTTTTAAACTTACCAAGATCAAATGAAAAAAAAGTTGGCATGGTTAATTAATGAGAAACTGAAACTTTCCATGATCTATGAACCAAAATTTGCCATGGTTAACCACTTTCCTTTTCATGGAAAAATCGTTGTAAAAAGATGACGCACGAACACATGTTAAGCTTGTCATGGCAAAAACCAACTAAAGTTGTCATTTGTGAATCACCGCGTTGATGAAATGATGACAGATGGTTACTAAAATGCAATGATCACCTCATTGCCCTATGACCATATGACACATAGTTTCTAAAAAATAGCCTACATTTGCCATATAACCATTAGAAACAATAATCTGAGATGGGCCATGATGTTAGTACAAAAACTATCAAAAATAGTGTCATGTGAATGAACTAACAATTTATAAAGTTGTCATGGTGTGAGAATTTGTAATAATATAAGAAATTGTGATGTTTTACTAAACATTGTGCTTAGAAATTGCCATGTATTATAGGACCAAACTCCTAAAATTCTGTACTGCTCACATGATAAATTCAGTAACTAAAAAATCACGGCGAAAATGTGTGCTACTCAGATTTTAGTGTAGCATAGCAAATTTTAGGGACTGTTTCATACACAAGCATGGCAAATCGTGTTCAAAAAGCTCATGGTACTCAGCATTCTAGCAGGTAGATTAACTCCAAGAAAAAATCATCAGACGTCAGTACAGGTGTACCATCGAAGAAAAAGAGTAGATGAACACCTCCCCACCGCGGCTCCTCCACTGGTGCTGGTGGTTGTGCAGGAGCAGGCCGCGACTGCACGCCGCGGCGGCCATCTCCTCCCCCCACGGGAGGGCGCCCAGACGCAGGAGGTTGACCAGGGGGTGAGCGGGCGCTCACCACCACAGTAGCATCTAGTCATCCTCCACGCCGGAGCTGACGAACCCGCGAGCTGCCTCGAGCAGCAGGCTCACCATGGCCACCACGCGCCGTCGCCGAGGAGCGCCCGAATGGAGGCGGCCTCGACGCCCGCCGCGGCGGAGGGAGCGAGCAGCAGGCTCACCATGGCCACCATTCGCCGTCGCGAAGACCGGTCTGGTGCTCGTCGTCGCCAAGGAGCACCGAATGGAGGCGGCCTCGACGCCCGTCGTGGCGGCGGGGGCGAGTAGCAGAATCAAGGCCCGTCCCGTGGGAGCATACGGGGGGCCTGGTGGCGGCGGAGCTCGAACCCCCAACAGCAGCCGTGCGCGCCTTCCTCCTCCGCCGTGCCTTCCCTCGCCGTCAGCCGGATCCACTAGACCACTACTGTTCACCACCGCCGCGGCCTCCGCCCGCCACTGCCCGCCTCGCCAGCCATCTACCGCCAACCGGGGGCCTCCCACCGCGCATCTAGCGCCACCACCCTCGCCGGGAGTCGCCGGGATCTGCTTGCCTCGCCGATTAAAGGCCGTCGGGGGAGGGGAAAAGGGTGAGACAGAGGAGCGGGGGAAGAAGACAGAGGAGTGACTCGTGGGTCGGCGTTCGCGTCCCGAACGAGTATGTGGTGACGTGGCGACTTTCTCCGCTATAAGATTCGCGCTGAAAAACCAACGGTAAAGAAGGCGTTCGGGACGAGGAGGAGAAACATGGCACGTTCGGTAGATATCGATTCCGGTGATTTTTGGCTGTTATTAGAGTTATTAAACACGACTTTGCGTGTCCATGTCCGATTCCAAACATGTGTATGTGTTCGTGTATAGGTTTCAAAGCAATCACCCCCGCACCCTGCACCCTTGTAAAGAGCCTTTGGCAATACGCCGGCCTCGCGTACTGCTACTGCTCGAGCTAGCTTGTGGAAGGAACCGAAACATCCAGCGTCGCTTCGCCGCCTTCGTCATCATCGCCGTCTTGCCGGAAAGTACTCTCGCGTCGGCGTGCCGGGCTGGGCTGGGCCAACAGGGACAGGAAGCAAGCCAAGCCAAGCCAAGGGCCGGTCAGGTGAGGAGCCCGCCGCCACACATGTCTCTTCTCGCGTACATGCGACTTCCTTCCCACTTTGTTTTTCTTCTATTGGCTCGATTCAAATTCTGATATGAGATCTGTTGTTAAGTTGCAGCTATTGGGATGGATTGATTATTATTCTGAATGCCTTACTATTATTTTGCCATGGATTGGTCGGATCTTAGTTAGGCTATTTGTCGATTCCGGCTGCACTTTTCGTCTTTGATATAAAGAGAGTTCCCGGTCCGATTTCATTAGCGGTTCCAGTTGCACCAGGAGTAGGATTGTAGAATACAATTAAGACAAACTGATTTTGATTTATATTATACTCGAATTTGAATTGCAGGGCTACATAAAAACCGTCGAGCATGCAGTTTCAGCGCAAGAATTCAATGGGGAAGAAAAAAAAGCATGCTAAAACGTGGCCCATTGAGAAGCCGCAGCACCTTTATCTTGTCCTGGATGACTGGTCATGGGGATATAGTATTCGAAAGATCGACTTGACATTTGGCGACGAGCGGAGGGGTGCCATCTACACCAGCGAGGATAGACTACCATCTGCCATGTTTTGCTTGCAGGGACGTCGTGGCGAGCCCAAAGCCATCATGGGTGCTTTTGACAACATGATTTTGGCTATGCCACCCTTGGACCACATACACGGGATGAACAATTTGGGTCTACATTGTGGTGCCGTAATTGACATTCATGCACGGACCTTCATTAATGGACCATGGCAGGACACGTCGCTGGATGTGGTCAACCCAATCTACATTCCTGTTGGTGGCAGGCTCTTTTTCCTTGGTGATAGCTCCTCCTGGATGCTCTACCAGGCATGTGATGATGCCTACTTCTATAACTTCGTGTGGGCGTGGTCGGAGCTCCCCAAGCCAATCTTTCAGTGTGAACTTGTCACCTCCTATGCCGTGCACCCAGATGAGCGGACCATCTTCGTTAGCGGGTCGTTTGACGCCCCTACCACCTTCAGCATCAACACAACCGATCCCGCCACCATCGGCTTGGAGGAGCCTGTGAACCCTCAGTGGAAGCAACATGGTATGTGGCAGCTGCCCTTCACTGGACGTGGTTATTTCGATCCTGAGTTGGACGCCTGGGTTGGGCTTTCCGCACAGCTGGACACCATTGGCCACATCTGCTCATGTGATGTGGTGTCTACCAACTCCGACACAAGCCATCAGCAGTGCCCAGCCCTGAAGGTCGGCAAAGAGAACTTATTTGGCGAGTTCCTAGACGAGAGGCACATAGGTGCCACCCTAGTCTATACGGGTGGTGAGAGCAAATTCTGCCTCCTGGAGGTCATCTGCATGCAAGCTGACTTAGCTAACCAGCCAACTGAATCTGATGAGAAGAATGAGGACTTCGACGCTGGGTTGAATGACACTTATTCCGATGAGACGACTGTCGGTGAGGTGACTGATGAGATGAATGAGTACTCTACTAATGAGGTGAATGAGGAGCAAGATCAGAAACGTTTTTTGCGGTTGACGACCTTTTCACTTAGGTATGACAGGAATGGAGACCTGACAACTGGCAATAGCCGGCGGGTTCGGTACTATAGTTTGCCTCAAGGAGTTACTAATTCGATGCTTGAGTATCCCGTGGCATTCTGGATGTAATTAGAAACCATGATATGCATATTGCATCACATAATATTTGCCTGATGTAAACCTAGCAGGCATGATATGCGTCATGTAATTATCGCTTGCATGAACAACAGAACATGGGTGAGCGTCTGGAGATTTAAGGCTGATGTTATTTATGTAGTCATTTAAAATGTTTTATTACTATGAATTTTGCTTAGCTTTTCTGTATGAATGTAATCTGCCTTCTGGATTTTTCATCTATAAGCATGGGATTGTGCACATGTTTGTTGCCCCTTCATGGCCTCATGGTGTCTACCGCTCAACTGCCTGCGGGTGATGACAACAGCGTCGACGAGGTGAGCACCTGCCCTCACGCATCTCCAGTGAGTGAGGCGACCTGCGGCGCACGTGCTCAACGGGGAGCACATTGACCCAATCTTTTGGTGCGAAGTTGATAGTACTCACCTTACCCTTGCATTCTTTTGACTCTTAGTGAATGAAAACAACACTGTTGTCTTCCCTAAAAAATGACACTTTCCAAATCCACAAATAACCGTAATACGATGCTAACAAAAATGCTGCACATTTTTAGCAACTCACAGCCAAGTCTGGCCACTAGAACTTAGTGGTAACTGGAACATAAAAGGATGAAAGGATGGGCTATGATGCCTATATCTTCTTCAACCACAGAACCTAGAATAGTATGGTATAGGAGAAAATCCATTGGAAGGGGAAAGAGATATCTTCAGGTTCCCAACTTAAGGTTGGGTTTCTAGGGAACCTCATGCGCACACCATGTCACCATAGGAACATGTAGCGTTGGGATGGAAGAAGCAGCATGTTGAGGTAAGACAAACAGATGACTGGAAGGAAGTCATCAGTTTCCGTGGACGGACTGTCATCGCCAGTGATGTAGGACTGCTTGTTCCAGGGAACAATTTTACAAAAGTCATGCCTGATGCCTCCCCTTGAAGATTGATTCGTGCGGAGGATTACTGGGATCAGGAATAAATTCCAATGCCTGCTGGAGGTTCACTATCTGACTAAACTGCTCTTCAACTCTGAACAAAAGGAAGTACAAGGGGATTTACAAATATTATAAGATTTACAACAGACTCATATAGAAACATGAGCGAGACATGCACCATTACCACTTACCAAAGCACAATAGGTTTTACAAATATTGTGAGATTTATTACAACAGACGCTTACGAAAACATGAGTGAGACATGCACCATTACCACTGACCAAAGCTATACAACAAACTTATTCAGAAAAAAAATTAGCATAATAGAAATCGCATGCCAATACATGGCATACTTGTCTTGAACCTTGAAACAGAATATGTCAAGTCAACTAAGACATTCAATACTTGGACAGCTTTCTGTACTTCCAGATATGCATCATCTTCTTCATAACCTTTTGTTGCATGGCATCGATGCAACTCAAGAAAGCACATCGCCACAGCTTCCAAAGAAATAACGTACCAAACCATAACCACAAACCAAAAACTGTTCCAGCAATCACCGAGTAGTACATCCAAATGGTTTCAAGTTCTTCATGTTGTTCCGTTCCCCCATCTGAAGCATTTTTACATGAAATGTTCAATAGAGAGCCACAAAGTCCCAGGTTGTTGCGATAAATTGACGGATCATCCAATGTTTGGAGTTGATTGCCTGTAGGTATCTCTCCAGATAGAAGGTTGTTCGAGAGACTAAGAGAGCTGAGGAATATCAAGTTCGATATGCTAGGAGGAATAGGGCCTGATAGTTTGTTCCACGAGATGTCAAGGGATTCTAACAACTTCAGATTGCCAATGTCCTTCGGGATACCACCAGATAGATCATTTCTTGACATATTTAGAAACTGGATGCCTCTAAGATTTGTCAACTCTAAAGGGATTTCACCAGATAGAGAATTGCTGGAGAGATCAATACCAGTCACAAATGCATCTCTTCCCTTAAATGTATGCTCCTGTCCTTTCCAAACTATGTCCATGCTGCCATTGTAAAAATATCCAAAGGTGGTAGATCGTATGTTGATTGTTAGAACCGGCTGCATCATATCTGACTGTCTCATTGAACGAAAATATGCAAAACTTACCGGTATGGTCCCTACGAATTTATTTTCAGCCAGATCAAGTAATTGCAGATGGGAGAGCTGTGATAGCTGCCAAGGAATACTTCCATAGAAGATATTTGATCGCAGTCCAAGGATCCTCAGCAGAGGATTGCTTTCCCCTATCCACGGAGGAATTGCACCAGAATCTCATTGTTCCCGAGATCTAAAATAACAAGGCTTTTGAAGTTCTTCATCACTGCTGGAAAGCAACCTGTGAACTTGTTGTTCGACAACCGCAGCAATCTTAGTGAAGTATTGTAGTAAGTTGAGGTTGGAACTTCTCCAGAAAAAGCATTGCTTGACAAATCCAAGGATTGTAAATCTTTCAAGTTCCACAAGCAATCAGGAAACTGTCCAATTAACTTATTATTTGATAGACCCAAGAGTCGCAAATGTTTTAATTGACAAAAGGCAGACAATGGTTCTGCCAAGAAGCTGCTATTCTCAGCCACCTTAAGAACTGCCAACTTCCTGCTATCAAGATTAGGAATGATACCTGTAAACTTGTTGCTAGACAAGTCAAGAACAACAAGATTTACCAACAACGAGATGGCTGCAGGAAGCTCGCCCTCAAGATGGTTGAAGCTGATGTCAAGGAATTTCAAAGATGTCGCATTACCGATATCTGACGGTATTGTTCCAGTTATGTGATTCTTGTACAAGGACAATAGCTGCAAGTTCCGCATGCTTCCCATCTCCACTGGGATCGAGCCAATAAAATTGTTGCCATACAGGGCGAGAAAAACAAGGTCCTTCCACTTGCTGATCTGTGGGAGGATGCTTCCAGTTAACCAGTTGTTGGATACATCAAAAACCTTCATCTTGGTCCAGTTTGTAGAAATCTCTTGTGGAATGGTACCATTGATTCTGTTGTTCCCTATGTCAAAATATTGCAAATTCCGCAGTCTGCCATAAGATGGTGGCAAGCTTCCAAACAAATGATTCCCTTCCAATAACATGTGTTCAAGACTGGTAAGATTCCCCAGCTCGGGCGGAAGAATAGAAACCAAATTAGTGTTTCCAATGCTGAGCCGTTGCAGCAACTGAAGCTCCCTAAGGGAGGCTGGGATCGACCCACCAAGTGAGTTATTGTACAGTGAAAGCACTCTCAATCCAGTTATCATCCCAAGCTCCCTGGGGATTCCGCCTGTGAGATTATTTGAGTTGAGATATAGCCACTTGAGCTTTTGGAGCCTTGAGAGTGAGCGAGGTATGGAGCCAGAGAATCCATTAGAGGATAAATTCAGATACCGCAATCTTGGAACCATCTCAGGCAATGAATCTGGTAACGGCCCTGAGAAGGCGTTGCCCGATAAATCTAGAGACCTCATACTAGGACTGGAGCAGTTGAGGATGAATTGTGGGAAGGTACCATTGAGATCATTATTAGCTAGAGATAACAACTTCAAAGTGAACATAGGTGAAAACTTGGCATGTTCCAGGTTGGTCAAGTGGTTATTTCCCAAATCTAACTCAACAATCATTGGAAGCTTACTAAGTTGGTAGGGAATGGCACCAGCAAGATCATTATAGCTCAAGTCCAGAACATCAAGGGACATCAACATGGAGATATTGGTTGGGATGACGCCAACAAGGTTATTGTTGTAAAGATCTAGCAGAGTGAGGTTCTGGAACGCTGCAGAGTAGAAGGCATGAAGCGTACCATGGAGCCCCGTGTTATGAAGTTGGAGCTCGGTAACATGTCCGGCAGCATCACAGGTGACGCCGAACCAAGAGCATGTAGAGTTGGTGATCGACCAAGAGGACAGCAAGTTGGCGCCAATCAAAGTGGACTTCCATCGGAGTAGTGCTTCTGCTTCCGGGTTGGTCGCCTTGGCTGTGCATACTAGCAGCAAAACGGAAATATGGAAGAATTTGAGCAGCGCCATTGCAGCGGGCAGAATGTTTTATGTATTGCCTTCAGAAGTAGCTTATGTGCACATAGATGATAGATCAAAGATATTGTAGGAGAAAACGTGAATATATTTCAATGCTATCACAATCGCTGGGCGGGGTATATGTTCATAAAGACATCAGACTTGGGGTCGCCATGTGAGGAAAATATCAAACCTATTAGTAATGAGAGGCAACACTGAAAGGAACGGGGAGCCTCAGGTGGTTCCTTTCCTCCCAGGGCCCCATGCAGTCGCGTGCAGACAGATGGCGGCTGAGTCGGTGGCTCTGCCTAGGGGGGGAGTTCGGGGCAGGTGGCCATGATTTTCTCTCCCTCTACTCTGACGCCGGCGACGCCAGCCTCGCCGTCGTTGGCCGGCCGTGAGGGGGACCGTCTGGGCCAGGTGGCCCCGGTCCTTCCCTCGCCTTCGGCTATCGGGACGGTGACGCCCTCAGGCTTGAGGGTTGGGGCGGGGGAGGTGCTCGGGCAGGCGGCGCCGGCACCTACATCCCCCGGCCTCCTGTCCGTTCATCATGGGAGACCTCCGCCACCGCTTCCTCCGAGTGGCGCTACTCGGGAGGAGGTTATTGCCTTTGGCGGGATCCCCGACCCGGTCTCTGAGGGGAGACGGATGAGCTCTCGTCTCCTAGACCACCCGGAGGTTGATGACATGCAGTAGAGGTGCGCTATGAGGGCGGCCAAGCTTCGTGACATTGAGGTCACAACCGGTATGTCAGTCAACTTGTCCAATTCTATTTTGCATTTTTCTACCGATGAGATTATAAATAATGCAAATCAAGTAGGGGTTTCGCTAGGGAATACCAATGCTGAAATTTCCAACTCGGTCAATGATCTCCTTGATCTGGAAGCGGAACGCGCTTTAGAAACCATTCGAAACCTAGCGGCGGTGAGACCTATGAATGATGCTGAGATTGATGCGTTGGGGGTGAGAGTACTTGATAATTTTTGTGCGGACCTTGCACCATCCACTACTGACTCCGAGGAGGAGGAAGTTAGTGTAGAGGATGAAGTGAACCAACCACCAGAGCCCGGTTATGAGGACCGGATGGTGGACAATAGTAAACCCAAACGTAAGTGGAAGCGGAAGGTGTATCCCACATCCGCGGTACGTAGGAGTGCTAGGATTCGTACGGCAAAAAAAATTTCATGATGACTTATGAAAGGAATCTTTTGGAATAGCAGAGGTCTGAAGGACTTGGCTAAACGAAGGTTTCTCGCTGAAGCGTCTCTGGAGTATCGATTAGATTTCATTTCTCTCTCTGAAACTGGTAGAGATAATTTTACGCCTCAGTTTCTTTCCTCTCTTGTGGGTGGTGTTGATTTCGATTGGCATTGCCTACCTCCGCGAGGACGATCGGGAGGTATCTTGCTGGGTGTGAGATGCGATTCCCTTGAAGTCTGGAGTGTAGTGATGGGCGACTTCGCGGTAAAGTTTTGAGTTAGGTCTAAAGTTGATGGTTTCAACTGGGCTTTAGTGGCGGTTTATGGCGCCGCATAGCCCGAGCTTAAACCGGAGTTTCTGGCGGACCTTGTTCGAATCTGTGGGTCTGAGCAGCTTTCGATGTTGGTCGGGGGTGATTTAAATATCATTAGGAGGAGAGAGGAGAAAAATAATGATAACTTTGACGGCAGGTGGTCGTTTATGTTCAACACCATTATTGAAAGCTTAGATCTGAGGGAGATAGAGCTTTCTGGTAGAAAGTTTACCTGGGCTAATGCTTTGCCTAACCCGACATATGAAAAGCTTGATCGAGTTCTAGCGAGCGTGGAGTGGGAACAGAAGTTCCCTCTTGTTACGGTACAAGCTCTCTCACGGGGAATATCTGATCACACACCATTGTTCGTGGACCGGGGAGCCGAACCATGTGGGAAACAAAAACACCTTCTCATTCGAGATGGCCTGGTTCGAACGTGAGGGGTTCTTAGACCTCATTGCCAGGGAATGGGCTAAGGGTGTAGGAGGTAGGACGGCGGTCGAGTGTTGGCAGAATAAAATTAGGCATTTGAGAAGTTTCTTACAGGGTTGGGCTAAGCACCTCAGTGGGGTGTATAAGATTGAGAAGGATAGACTCCTTTCTCTTATACAGGCCCTGGACATAAAAGCCGAATCCGCAATTTTGCTGCCTACTGAGCTCCAGGTTAAAGCTGAGGCAGAGAAGAGGTTGAAAGAACTTCTCCACGAAGAAGAGTTGAAGTGGGCTTTGCGAGCTAAGGTCCGCAAAGTGGTCCAAGGGGACGCCAACACTCAATTCTTTCACCTGATTGCCAATAGTAAGCACAGAAAGAAGCGAATTTTTCAACTTGAACAAGATGAGGGTACTATTTTAGGACAGGATAATCTCAAAACTAATATTACCGAGTATTATAGGCAGTTATTTGGATCTCCGGAGGATAATTGTGTGTCCCTCGATGAGTCCAGGACTGAGGATGTGCCTCAATTGTCTGCTGCCGATAATGATATCCCGGTTGCCCCGTTCTCAGAGAAGGAGGTGTTTGATGCTATTGCACAAATGAAAAACAATAAGGCTCCCGGACCGGATGGGTTCCCGGCCGAGTTCTATAAAAAGTGCTGGCACATTATTAAGGGGGATTTGCTACCTATGTTTCATGATCTATTCTCTGGACAGCTTCAATTATTTCACTTGAATTTTGGAACTATCACATTGCTCCCTAAGAAAACGGATATTGTGAGAATTGAGCAGTTCAGGCCGATCTGCCTCCTCAATGTGAGTTTCAAAATATTTACCAAGGTCGGGACTAATAGGCTCACACAGATTGCGCATTATGTGGTGCAACAATCCCAAACTGCTTTCATGCCGGACAGAAACATCCTTGAAGGGGTGGTTGTCCTACATGAAACGCTCCATGAAATCCACTCCAAAAAATTAGATGGAGTAATTTTTAAGGTGGATTTCGAAAAAGCGTACGATAAGGTCAAGTGGCCATTCCTCCAATAGGCATTGCGTATGAAAGGTTTTGATGACGCCTGGCGCCGGCAGGTCGAATCATTTACGCAAAAAGGGAGTGTGGGAATTAAAGTGAATGACTATATTGTTGGGGAATGTTGCAGAAAATTAAAAATTTTCCTACGGTTTCACCAAGATCCATCTATGAGTTCATCTAAGCAACGAGTCAAGGGAGTGAGTTTGCATCTACATACCACTTGTAGATCGAGTGCGGAAGCGTTCAAGGGGATGGTGATGATGGAGTCGTACTCGCCATGATTCAGATCACCGATGACCAAGTGCTGAACGGACAGCACCTCCGTGTTCAACACACGTACGGTACAGACGACGTCTCCTCCATCTTGATCCAGCAAGGAGGAAGGAGAGGTTGAGGAAGACAGCTCCAACGACAGCACGACGGCGTGGTGTTGTTGGTGCAGCAGTACTCCGACAGGGCTTCGCCAAGCACGTACGGAGGAGGAGAGGTGTTGGGGAGGGGAGGGGCTGCGCCTTGGCTTAGGTGTTCAGCCCTCCCCTCACCCCTCTATTTATAGGGGAAGGGGCAAGGGGGGCCGGCCCCTCTAGATGGGATCTAGAGGGGGGCGGCGGCCAGGGAGGGGGACTTGCCCCCCAAGCAAGGGGGGCGCCCCCTCTAGGGTTCCCCCCCCCCAACCCTAGGCGCATGGGCCCAAGTGGGGGGCGCCCAGCCCTCCAGGGGCTGGCTCCTGCCCCACGCAGCCCATGTGGCCCCCCGGGAGGGGTGGCCCCTCCCGGTGGACCCCCGGAACCCTTCTGGTGGCCCCGCTACAATACCGATATGCCGCCGAAACCTTCCAGTGTCCGTATGACAGCTTCCCATATATAAATCTTTACCTCCGGACCATTCCGGAACTCCTCGTGACGTTCGGGATCTCATTCGGGACTCCGAAAAACATTCAGTAATCACATACAAGTCTTCCTAATAACCCTAGCGTCACCGAACCTTAAGTGTGTAGACCCTACGGGTTCGGGAGACACGCAGACATGACCGAGACGGCTCTCAGGTCAATAACCAACAGCGGGATCTGGATACCCATGTTGGCTCCCACATGCTCCTCAATGATGTCATCGGATGAACCACAATGTCGAGGATTCAAGCAACCCCTTATACTATTCCCTTTGTCAATTGGTACGTTACAAGCCCGAGACTCGATCGTCGGTATCCCAATACCTCGTTCAGTCTCGTTACCGGCAAGTCACTTTACTCGTACCGTAATGCATGATCCCGTGACTAAACACTTGGTCACTTTGAGCTCATTATGATGATGCATTACCGAGTGGGCCCAGAGATACCTCTCTGTCATACGGAGTGACAAACCCCAGTCTCGATCCGTGTCAACCCAACAGACACTTTCGGAGATACCTGTAGTGCACCTTTATAGTCACCCAGTTACGTTGTGACGTTTGGTACACCCAAAGCACTCCTACGGTATCCGGGAGTTACACGGTCTCATGGTCTAAGGAAGAGATACTTAACATTGAAAAAGCTCTAGCAAAACAAACTATACGATCTTGTGCTATGCTTAGGATTGGGTCTTGTCCATCACATCATTCTCCTAATGATGTGATCCCGTTGTCAATGACATCTAATGTCCATAGTCAGGAAACCATGACTATCTGTTGACCAACGAGCTAGTCAACTAGAGGCTCACTAGGGACATGTTATGGTCTATGTATTCACACGTGTATTACGATTTCCGGATAATACAATTATAGCATGAATAAAAGACAATTATCATGAACAAGGAAATATAATAATAATGCTTTTATTATTGCCTCTAGGGCATATTTCCAACAGTCTCCCACTTGCACTAGAGTCAATAATCTAGTTACATTGTGATGAATCGAACACCCATAGAGTTCTGGTGTTGATCATGTTTTGCTCGCGAGAGAGGTTTAGTCAACGGATCTGCGACATTCAGATCCGTATGTACTTTGCAAATATCTATGTCTCCATCTTGAACATTTTCACGGATGGAGTTGAAACGAC